CTGATTTGAGGGGGGTTTCACTTCACCTTAAGTTGACGTAGAGGGTTGTCCACCGAAGGTGTTTGCGACTAGTACCTATTGGATGCGAGATCAGGCTTTACAACCCTGGTTGCGTCCAATAACTTCGCACCATTGCGTACGAAACAACACTAATTTTAAAAAACTATCCTCGACCCTACCCTCGTTCCCCCCAATGTAAAATCCGATCGATGTGTTTTAATCCCAGAAGGAAAGAATTGAAAACATTTCCCTTCTCCCGGAATTAAAGTCCTTTACTCGCAGCGCGATATTTGCAGGCGACCATTGTTCCCCTGTGCCGAATTTAATGGACATTTATGTAACGATACGTCCTGACGCGCGATGTATGAAAAATGACAGCATTAAAATGAAGAGCGTCCAGTGAAAAATGCTGGGCAACTGAATGCGCAAAACGGGGTCGAAGAGTCAATCCAATATGTGGAATTACAATCGAACGGGTTTGCAACAAATTCCTTGCCGCGAGGCTGATGATGCTCGTCAATATTGAAGTAACAGCTGTTTAAAAATGTACCTTCCCAAATATTTGCTGGCAAATATTCCCGCGACCATTATTTTCAGCAGTCGGAGGGGGCGGGGAAGTTAGAGTAACTCTCAGTTGGGTAATTTTTCCCCGGGGAAAATAAAGGATTATTTGAGCGTGCAAGGGGTAGCCGTGGTTAAATCGAAAACTCGCGACCCGATAACGAGACGAACTCGACGAGAGCCCTCCGATCGCCAGAGGCGAGGTGGTTTCGATGTTTTTATGCTCCAACTTATTTGCGAGTGGTATCGAGACTCTTTTCAATTGCTTCGGAAGCATCTGTAATCGCCTATCGATTGAAAGAGGAATGCAGCGGCCGGGGCAAGCGAAACTCTTTTTCCGAAGTTAAAGATCTTTAATCGGAGATCTCTCGAGAAAGCGAAATGGAAACTTCCCCCCGTCGATTAATTACCCTCGTGTATGGAAATGCAAAATGATATGACTCGTTTAAAAACATCGTATACATTGAATTCCACATTCAGCCGTCATAAATAATTAGCAGCTATGGTAGGGGAGACCGAGGTCAATTGTACCAATTTTTTTACGTTTTTATTTCTACTATTAATTGGAACAGGTTTTTATGATCGATTCTTGGTCCATATATTAAGTGAACCTTCTCCTGAAAGGCAGCTTACATTTGAATACTTCAAGATCCTATAAAAATCAGCATTTTTTATTTTCTTTACTAAATGTGTTTGTTACAATTGCAACTGTTGCAGGGTACGATTGTAACACTCGTCCCATGTTATATTTGTGACAGTCTGACTTGTTTCAATTTTGCCCGGTGGCTCTTTTCAAATAATTGATACACTTACGGCAACTTAGAGCCAGTCTATTTTCAAATGTAATAAACATATGATGAATATCTGTAGGTGCAATACCGTGGCATGATTAAAGCAGTTTTACCCATTCCGGATTTAATATAAGTCGAAAATATTGAGCTCATAAAAATATTACTGACCTATGCCGTATCACGAATAATGGAAATAACAAGAGAACGCCAGATTTAATAAATACGAAACGACTGCAAGATATTCCTAATATCCATGGGAAGCTTCCGCTGCTTAACCACGCCTTTTCAACTTTGAATAAATAATTTATAACGTTTGTTACGATTGCCCCGTGTTACATTAGACCTCGGTCTCCTCTACATGCCGGTACACGCGATGTGCAAAATCGTGATCGAGAATGTTATGTATTAACACGAGTTTACGTATTACGAGCACCTAAATATCCCTCTCGTCGATTCATACACTGCGGATAAATAATAATTCATACTACTGGATTGGCAACTAAGTGATCGCGGATTTTTTAGTACCATCGACAAAATCCGCGATCATTTACTTGCCAAACCAATATATCTCAGGCTATAAATCGGCAGCGCCGAAATAGTTCACCCTCAAGATATATAATAATTACTGGCGAGCTCCGCCGTCCCAAGCATACCGGAGGAACGGGTCAGAAATTCCTAGCCTAAGGTACGTCCCTTTATCCGCGATTATCATTCTATTCCCCTCGTTCGGGCTCGCCCCCTCTCGGAAGCAAATGGTGCATCCGGATGCAGGCTGCACCCGGAGATATTTCCGAGTTTTTGAACGAGTCCTCCGGCCAGGGCGACCATGCTCGTTCGCCGACAGAATGCTCGAATAGGTTACATAAATTACGAGTCGACCCAGCGGAATGCCTCGCATAACGACATAATTAATACATGGCTCCCTGCGCGTTCGGAGCCTTGCTCTCGACGTGCTCGCGAAAATGCATTACCGTTTCGTCGCCATCGCGCCTTGTTCCCGCCGGCCTGACGACGGCTCGACTCCCTCGGGCTCCTCGATCCACCTACTTTATTCTCATCTGGATCATCCTCGATCGATCCAATACCGTAGCGTTAATTTAGAATTATATTTAGATTAATGAACAAATTATTTCTTCTGCGCTAACGGATTGAACTGCGCTCGAACCGCGCAACCCTTCGCGCCGTCATAACCTCTCCGCCAAGGGTAGTTGGTTGGTTGGTAATTGGTTATGGCTCCAGAATCTTCATCGCGCAGATTCTATTAACCCTTTCGTTACCTTGGACGAGATATCTCGCGACCCAATACTGGCCGATTAACGCTTTTGACGAGATATCTCGCGACTCGGTAGTAGCCGATCAACGCTCCTCGATCCACCTACTTTATTCTCATCTGGATCATCCTCGATCGATCCAATACCGTAGCGTTAATTTAGAATTATATTTAGATTAATGAACAANATCAGCCAGTATCGGGTCGCGAGATATCTCGTTAAAAGCGTTAATCGGCCAGTATTGGGTCGCGAGATATCTCGTCCAAGGTAACGAAAGGGTTAACACATTCGCGACCGGCAAATTTTTGCCCGTTTCAAACACTGAGTACCGGCGAAAGTAATGAAATTCTGAAACTGGTTGTCGCAAACTTGTATCGTGTATCGTTATGGACGAGATTCACGTCAGCGGTAATCAGGAATAGAATTTAAAATGACGTGAATTCACGTCTGCGGTCGCGAATGCGTTAATGCCAACTTATTTACTAACGAAGCTATAGGCACTGTGTTCAGCTTGTTCCCCTTAAACGTGGTTGTATGTTCCATTATTTCACCGTTTGGCTGTTTTATTACGTTATAACTTTCTTTAAACAAAATTTCCCTTAACTCTCCGCCAAGGGTAGCGGACCGCCATAGAACCCTCCGTGGTCAAGGCGCTCTTCTTCCTGTTTCCGATGTTTTAGAGGTCTCTTGTTTAAGGGCGCCCATCTGTCACTCTCGACTCATATGGAAACCATCGAGTCGCAGATTTTTTCCAAACCTTCCGAGAAGGACAATTTATTTCTTTAGCGCTTAAGCCTCGCTTTCTTAATTTCGACACGTGCTCGATGTGTGGCAATTTATCACCATATTTCTTTGGTCCTTTTCCGAGTTCCTTCTCAGAAGTACTTCTCTAGGAGTCCATCTTCGAATTGTAAAATTACAATAATCTGGGAATAAATTGGAAACAGTTTCCAACACACGAGTGAGGTTACGGCCGCTTTGAGTCTAATCGTCCATTGAGCATGTAGATTATGATTCATTGAATGGTGTAAAAAATTGAATTTGTAAGTACTTTAATTTGCAGAGGACAAATGTCGCCTTCGATTGTTTAAGTGCATTTCGTGCTTAGCGGTTTATCGGGTATATTTTCACTTTTCGGTATCAGAGGTCTGAAAAGGGCCGCTTTGTGGACCGAAGCCGGCCATTTTCGCAGTCTCTGGGTTGCACTAAACGGCCAGATAAGCTCGACGTTTCCGAGCTTAAATCCGAGGTTTAAAGAGGGCCCCTAGGTGGGAGCTCTTAACGAGCGACGACGAACACCTTCGACGAGAGAATCACGCGAATCGACCGAGTTGTTCGCCTTTATTTCACGGCCGAGTATCCGCTAGGAAAGTTACGTCTCCGGGTATCAGGGGAGTGATTTTAGACCCGAGGAACGACTCGACGGGTCAAAGGTCAACGTCGTTAAGTTCCTCTCCCTGCTTTCCTTTTTTCATCCTCATTGTCATTTATTGTCATTTCGCGTTACGGCTCTACATTGATCGTCCGAACAGTCGCTAATATCGGCGAAAATGGACTAATTTCGATTCGGGCAACCTTAACACTGGATTGCCGGATGTTGGGCATATACCTATTTTGCCTGAAATTAGTCAATTTGACTCGAACATCATAATGGAGTTAAAAAAAAAAATTTAGTTTAATGAAACTTTATTCAAAACAATTGTTACATATATATTCTGGAAGCACTCTTTACAGTACCAAGTATAATAGTTCTTTTGGAGTAGGAAGTGGCCCTGAGACGTCTTTGAATTTGGTATGATCGGAAAATCTACCAGTATTTTTACCATCTTTCAATGTTTCCCATAATGTCCCATAAGCAGCCCTTTGTGTTGAAATTTCTTCATTATCTAAGAAATTTGTAACAATGTTACCGAACGGTAATAATTCGACATCATATGATATTAATGTATCTTTTGAATAACATTCGTTATATATCACATTATTCCAGAGTAATGTCACTGTAACATAGGGTGTTTGGTGGGTGTCGACTGCGAAAAAATATATTCAATTATTTCTTGATCTTCGAGATATCAATACGAGGATGAATTACACAAAGCACGGGTTCCGATTTAGTCAAAGTTCCCTCAATAAAATGAATTGAACTGAAGATAATTAAAATGGTTAAAAATTATTCAGCAGGTGAAATCTACGCATTGATTTTCTACGAACTGTTTCCAAGGATCTTGATGTAGTCTTTTTACATTGTTTAATTCAAATGTACGTTGTAAATGCAACATTACAATGTAATGTTATTTAGAATGGGGTCTCCAGGATTTTTGTTGTCGAAATAGATGGTTATATTAACCCTACTACAAGGAGACATTATTTTTGTTCGCAGAGGCTCGGGCAAGAATCGGCGGCCCACCGGACATCTACGTCAAGACTGGAAGTCTCTTAACATTGACCTGTATGATGTCGCAAGGGCCTCACGACCTCGGAACCGTCGCCTGGTATCTCGGCGACCGTCTGATAGTCACGTCTGCACATTCTGAAAACGACGTCAACGACGAGCCTCGAATCACCGTCGAAACGGAGTGGAGCGACGCCCTGACGTCAAGGTGCACCCAATTTCCGAAAATACACCCAACCGCATAAACCCCATAATTTTCCCCCGAAACCATCTCCGGCGAATATCCTTTGCACCTCGGATATTTTAGGGAGCTCATACAAGGAGAGAATCGCGTCCCGGAATTTTAACGGCGACTTTGACTGATTAAAAGTATTTATCTCTGATAACATTCTAACCAGTACCTGATGCGACGCAATTATAACATTTAAGGTGAAGTGAAACTCGTGAAGACACTTTTTTTTAAGGGTATTGAATCGAACCCTCTTAAACTTTGACACATGATTCGTGACCACCTAGAAATTATCCTGACACTATCGAAATTCGAATTTTTCAAACAAGTTTTTTAACATTGCCCACACCAGAACCAATATGGCGTCGAGCTCTCATATTTCGATCAATATACAATTATCGAAGGCTCTGATATGAGAAACGAAAGGGTCAGGATAATTGTACAACAATTTAGAACACTTTGGTAATCGATAAAGTTGCATTTTAACGAGTTGAAGGAAGAAAAGTGTCTAATGTGCTGCTGTGCTAAAACGATGGTAATACGAGGTCTCGGAGTGAAAATGTAATTCACCTGAAAATCAGAGATGGCGCAGGGGGTCCTTCTGCAATCAATAAGGGCCCCAGAAAGCATGAATCCAGAGGATTTCTGGAGTTTTACTTCGATTTTTTTATATTTATTGTACGAAAACGACAGGTGGAGTATGCCATTTGGTACAATACCCAATATATTCCGACAGCAGTCAACATAAAAATTAACGTTGATAATGTAGATATGTAGAAAAATCTTTTTTACCCACGTCGATCAAGTTCCTCGACGTGTTTCACTTCACCTTAATTTTACCCATTACAATGAAACGCGGTAACAGGGATGTCTACATTTTTTTTTTACCTTACCCTGAAGATCGAATTTAATTCTAACGTTGAAATTTCATTTCGCCGAATAACGAGATGTCATTAACCGGCCCATTTAGAAACGTAAAAAATTCAATGTCACGCGACTAACGCATTGTCTTGGTTCCTTGTATATCTTCTTCTCATAACTCCTCCGGGCTTTTTGGAGGCTGAAAGAAGAAATCTAAAAGCTAAATGGTGGGATGTAATTTATCGGGTGGAATTGTCGTATCGTTGATAGACCTTAAGTATGTCTCTCCTTGTACCAGCTACTTAATTTCCTCTATAAAGGGAGACCACCCTTCTCGTGTCCCCTTCTGGGGTCGTTCTCTTATAATGTCGCGACTTTCTGCAAACGACATCGCAGGGTGGAGGAGCACGCGAGCTCGAAAATTACGAGCTCTTCGTGATGTCTTTAGACGCGTATTTCTCTGAAAAGTCGTAGACTCCGCGATAATCCAGTCGTTAACATCGTGACTTGCACTGACAATTCATTAGACTGATAATGTTTTTTATTTTACCCGAAAATCGCTTCCCTCGTGTCCCAGATTAACCTTCATTATGAAACATTACATGTTATCCGTCTACCAAGATTTTGATTTTAAATATCCTATTCTGAAAATATGAAAAGGAAAACTACATTTCCACTTATCTCCACTCTCCCGAGGATGCTTTTTCACGTACTGTATTATAACAAGCCAAAGATTAAATCCCATTTATTAATTAAATTTTCTTAGAGGTTAAATCGTTAAGCGCCGACGATCATTGTATATAATCGGCTCCATCAATGTTTTAATTCACTACGAAAGATGACAGTCAACTGAACTATTTATAATAAACTTGTGACATCTTTAACAAATTCAGGAGCCCATGAATGCAGCTCAGCAATAAATGGAAAAGTATCTTCAGAGCCCTCTTCCATACTTTAAATAAATGAAAGAACCTCGTCCACCAAAAGACCGCCCACGCTATATTTTCTTTTTCTTGCTTTTTGCTTCCTCCTCTTACGCAATTCTTCCTTTCAATTTTATGATACATTTCAAAAATGTCTTTCATGTTCACTTCATCAGGAGGATCTTTCTCTTGTGGTTATTCGTATCCGTTGTACTCCTGTTTTGATATTCCACCGCGTAAAAATATCAAGTGCTCTAATGGATTCGGTACGTGTACTCCGAAGAGGAATTGCGCGAAACACCCCAACGGGGCGCCCTCGAGTTCGTTAATTCCCTTGCATCCTGAAGTGCACGCAAACGTGGAGATAAACGCTAACGAGATGCAATCCCGTAGACCGAGTCTAGATACGTATGTACTTTTCTGCCGCAGGCTCAGGATCACCCACGCGAAGCCCACCGACTCGGGAAATTACAGTTGCGTTCCCACGGTTGCGGAAAAAGCCAGTGTCAACGTCCACGTTATCAATGGTACGTCCAGGCGTCCTTTTGCACCCCTTTTAACTACCCCGATCAATGCCCGGCAGCGCACCAACGAAAATGCCCAACTTTACCGAAGGTAACGTACGTACCAAACGGAAGAGCACCTCGATCATTAGGTACTACACGTTCATAACGCAAGAGCAGGTGCAATTCACGCTCTCCTTACAGGTAAACTCCCAGCGTACCTAAGTCTGGTATAAGTACCTTCGTTTTATGCGCACCCTTCACTTAAGAAGTACATATTTCTTCCTGAAATTAACTCGGAACTTCCTCAGCAGCCCCTTGATTTCTCGGCCTGTGTACATTTTAGATTTAACTGAGCACACGCAAGAGATTGCATTTAAGAAGATACACTACATACCTGGAGTTCAAACATTCCCGAGAAAAGTGAGCGGAATTAGTCGGCAAGGGCGAGATTGAAAATGGAGTCTGTAGGTTTGTTCGTTTTGCCTACACTTTCTACACTTTTACGAAAAGTGTACACTTTGGCGTTCGTTTTGACGGAAGGGACGCAGACGTCGCTTTTCGTTTTGCGAGGGCATCTACTCCGAGTGTACACTTTCTCTACACTTTTTACCCTCGATCCCGAGCGAGGGCAAGACGGGTAGCCCGCGAATTTGGCGGCAAATTTCAAAATCGAAAAGACCACCAAATAGGAAAATACAAAATTTATGCTAACGTCTCAACGTAATATGAACAGAAGTCATTAATAATGCATCTTCTTCGTGTATAGAACGATTTAGCGTTTCAGTTTAGTACGTAATGTTTGAAACAATTTACAATAATTATGTATTACTACGTAACCGCGGTTGGAATTAACTAAACTATAATTTTTCCCTGTTTTAGTTAAATTGTTTTTCATTCTCCTGCAATAATATTCTGACCCTTATTGATCCTCGATACCTGAAATTCGTGAAAGGAATTTTCATCTTCTACGATTACAAGGTAATAGAACGAATTGTTGGATTTGAAGAAAACGAAGACAGCTCGTGAAGGAAGGCTAGAGGAAGCATTACATTTCCGTATTCATCATACGTTTTCTTTTTGGTTTCAAGGTAGAACTTCAGTTATGTGGTGCGTAAAAATGAATGTAAATTTCCATCGATTTTTTTCAGTGTGGTCACAAAATTGATTTGTCGATTCATCGCGTCCCTTGACCCGAGCATTTGGGGTAGTTTGACACGTAGGTGCCCCCCTAAACTCCCCCATGAAAGTTGAATCGATACCCCGCGAAGGTAAAACTTGTCAGTTTCTTGGGAGTTTCAGGAAGTCGTGGTGTGCGTTTTCGAGCCCCTTTTCATCGTCTAGGCACCGGGGACGATTGGTAAGTGAAATTCCTGGCCGAGTCGTGACGAAGTGTCGCGGCCACGGAATACGAATTCGAAGTGGCAGAAGGGAGGCCACAGGGCGCTGCAGTTTTCTAAAGCGAGTCCTGCTTTTCCCGACGAATCACGGCTCTCCGCACCCAAGCCTGGGAACAGGGAAGCGAAACTTCGTATTGCGACGAACCTAAGTTTCTATTGCTGCAAACTTGGGAGTCGCTTGTTACGAGCGCTCGTTCCGTAAAAGCGCGTAACGTCCTTACCCCGCCACCAAGAGACACGGAGTTAAAATAGTTACCGGCGACGCAATTAAAATCACAGCACTAGCTCCTCCGCTAGCGACGACGAAAGAGCCACCTCTGGATTTTCGGCTCCGTTCATTTTTCCTTTCTATACAATCGTGCTGTGAAAAATATGGAAAAACATAGTAACATGTGTTAACCACGGGACAAGCCAACATTCTCTTGCAATGATTGGTGAAAGTATATTCCATATTTTCCCATCTGACTCTTTCATGTAACCTTAAATAAATAATTACACGGGTATTTCCGGCGATGTCCAACAGTTAGTATTACTATGCTGTGAAAGTATAATGTCCAAGTCTGCACGTGAAAAAGGCTCTTGGCATTTTTTCGACAGATACTCTCGTATTTGGCTAATGGTATCATGACAAGTTTCAAATTATAGTTACAGGTGGAATTTAATTGGGTAAAAATCTGTCAAAGATTGGGTTACTTGGTCTCTCGAAATTTCAGCGTAAAAATACTTTGATCAAATTCGGATTGATACTCTTTTATTACAGAGACGTTAATTAGAGTCCATATTGGCACCGGATCATGGCAGAATCCGGTATTGTTGCGAAGAACAATAGAGACCTACCCGCTACAAGAAAGAATCGAATATTGCAGTGTAATATCCTTGACAAACGAATGTGGGTTATTTCCCGTATTAACATCCCTGTAAACATGTACCCTGGCAACACATGAAGCGGAATATACGTAAATTAATCGTCTAAATTAGGTCTATAGGTATAGCAAATGTATATCATCTATCATCCACCTAAAAAAACTTCTAAAGGATATATATATATATATATAAATATCTATGTCTATTGGAGATGAAAATTATGTATTCAGTATTGATCTACTAATAGCTACTTATTTCTTGACGCATACAAAATATATAATAGCTCTCGTAGACATCTACCGAAGGTTAATTAACATGGTTGAAAATATGTTTGGAGAAATAAAGAGATACCTCGTGTAACCTAACATTTTTCATACATACTTAATGTTTATTTCCAAATTTCAACTTGATAAAACTGTTAGTTTCGTCCATCCTCTGATTTTTTATTTACTTCCCCTTTGGCTGGTGACCATACATCATGATTTTTTACCACTGTGTAAATTATGATGTATTGCCAGGCACCGTATGAAGTATAATATACTTGTAGTGAACGAACAAATTAGGGCATAAGTATAGAAAACTTATATTATCTATGATATGCATGATAAAAATATCCCACGAATATATATGTAAATCTTTTTCACGCCTATATTTTCAGTTCATATATCATAGAAGTCTAGGCAACATGTATAAAAATCTTAACTATTCGAAAACGTTAAATTGATAGTTTATACTCAGGTTAATAGTTTACACCCAGCACTCGTAGACTTACAAAAATGTAGTTACACTAACAAATTGCGCACATTTAAATAAAATATCTTTAAATAATATTCATAAAATTTATGCACTTTTAGTATATAAGATTGTACTAAAAGGATGAGTTTAGTATCTTAAAGGGAATCGGTATACATTTATTATACACTTTTAGATAAAGAGATGACTTTATAACATACAATTTTTTAAATGACTTAATTTTACAATCACTTACGGGTTTTTTTTTAAGAATAAGTTTACAACAAGATGCAATAAGTATCTTTTGCACCGATCGAGAAGTACCGGAGCGGTCTTCATAAGTCCGAAAAATATTTATTCCTTCATAGGCTTTGGTACAATCATGGTTAGCGTTCCTGCTTCTTATCCCATGAGTCTCGGGTTTAAATCCCGACAATTACAAAAAAATTGTTCTGTATCAAAAACAGCAGGATTTGTCTGCGTAGCTGTACTGAACGAGTTCTCAAACAGACTCTGCTTAAAAAGAGTTATAAATTTGATTTTTTTTACAAATACATATGAATATCCATAGACGTGAATTAACCACCTATTGTAGATATCTTCGATATATGTATATATTACGTCTCACATCCGGACATCTAGCCTTTGAGTGTATGTAAAATAGAGTTCATAAATATCTATATATATCTTACATACGTTCAATAAACATTTATATACGATTAATATACGGATATTCCACGTTCCGCCCTGTCTGGGTAGTTATATCGAACGTACCAAACGTGATTGAATAATAAAAAACCGATGTATTTAATGTACAGACTACAATCATTTTTCAGTGTCAAGTTCGTATTAATTTCTGCAACTTCTTGCAAAGAATTTCAATCCAATTAATAAATTGTAGTTAGCGATTAAACGATTGTCAACTAAGTCTCATTAAATTGTAAGGGGTTTCAAGCCCTCTTACCTGAACTTATAACTACGCTTGGTAAACTTAGACACCCGTTTCCGTAGTTTTATTCAAAATGGCGACAGTTAGGTATTTCACCCGCCTTACAAGGAAGGTACCTGAGGTGTCCCCCTCCGATTTTGTTCATTTTTAAATATATTATAGAGGACTAAAATCTAAGGGACCCGTGTTTTTTTTTATCGGCGGATAAACACTTTTAGGGGGTGAAATCAGGCTTCAAAGTTGGCCATGCAAGGGGGTGAGTTGGCTGTTTCATATAGAAGCACTCGACCGATTTTCATGAAACAACTATCAAAATTTAGGGAATGAAGAATTATGAAACATGGATTTGGAATTTTTCGAAAAAGAGCAATTACTGCTCGCTTAAGGGGTAAAAGAAGTATTCAAAGTGGCGCACCCCTTAAAAATGAATTTTTTCCGCGCAAAATTAAAGTCAGATTTTAAATTGATCGGCTTAGGGCAGAGAATTAAAATGACATGTCTATAGAGGTCTGGTGAATTCGTTCCCTTTGAGCTGTCAGCTCTTTTCTAACGAGATACGGGTTCCTTAGATTTTAGTCCTCTATAATATATTTAAAAATGAACAAAATCGGAGGGGGCACCTTAGGCACCTTCCTTGTTGGTGGTTTTTTGTATGAATTTTAATTAGCTCGAAGGAAGCTTAAATGAGTTTATCGGCGTAGTTAAATATTTATTTGCCAGTTATTAGCAGCCCATTCGGGCAAATTCGCCATTCGTTTTTCTCCCCCCACGATAATTGACGAAATTAATACTTTATTATAAATCTCTACCGTTCAGCTCATTCCCCTTATATATATTACTTCCAAGTCCGAGGGAAGTCTCCAAATTAAAGGGAAAATATTTTAACAATTTTCTCCTGTAATCGTCCCAAAGCGCCGTCTCACCCGTCGCGCTTGCACCCGACATTACCCGAGACTATTAAAACGGGATCATCAGATCTAATTTTTACCATTCTTCCACAAAGAGGAATTAAACCCGCCTCGCCTGCGGAAAAAAATTCCCTCAGGTCTTTCACAGCAAACGGACAGTTTTTTTTAGCC